TGGCCCAGTCTCCATGCCTCTGGATTGGCCAGTATTCCACCTCTCTGGGGCAAGCAGGGCTTAATCTTACTGGCACTTTGAAACTTTTCTCTCGCTAGCTTTTTTACTTCTAGATTTGAGAAGCATACTAATAATTTAATGTTTTTCCCCAGCACATTATTTAAGTGCACATCACCATAACCTTGTTTTGTGCTTGATGGTGTTGACAGAAAAAAAATCACTAAATGACACCTACAATGCACTGTCAGCTATGCTGCATTTAGTGTTATATAAGAGCTAGGTGTTGTTACAGAGCCTTTTAGAGTCACAATTAGCTTGCCTCCAAAAATTATAATATTTTAATTTCACTTTAAATGTTCTGAGGAACAATTTGGCTACCTGAGCTGAAAGACAATGGATCCTCTCTCCTCTCCTGAGAAGGCAGCATAGTTATGATTTCCCCTTTCCTCTCTTGGGCCTTGGCTTTTCAATATGTTCTATCATATCTCAGCTGTAGTGCTGCAACACACTACTGGAACATCATATTACATGGTTGTTCTTGTGACAGTACATTCTGGAGCCTTACAATTCCACTTCTTTGGCAGCAAAGTGCCTGTTTTGCAGAATAAAGTCCACTGAGTTCCTATCTAAGAAAAGTCTCCTTTCCTACAAGAAAGATGAAATTGTAAAGCTCCATGACAGCCTCAGGTGAAAGCACCCTGTCCAGAGTTTTAAGGATACAGAGGAATTGCTATGATCTATTCACAGATACTCCAATGTAGCTAAATCTTTGTTGAAAACAAGATTTAGGTCCCAAAATCAGTTAGGCAATGCTGAACACAGGAATGGCTACGTACCATTGAAATCTGGGCCCTTGCCTATTGCTACATGCATCATGGAAATTTTATCATGAAGAACAAGATAAGGGGTCCCCTACTTCCCTTTTGGATTTCCTCTCTTTCCACTTTCCCTCTTAAAGATAAAAGCGAACCAAAATAACTACCTACAACTTCCTCATCGTCTCATGATTTAATAAATTGTTAAAACAGAGGAGGAAGGAGAACATGATCTTTCTATGGAGTTTTACGTGGAACCAAATGATGACAACAAGAATGATAGCCCTAAGTCTATGTGGAGAACTGACAACCCAATGTTGAATGTTGCACTTCCACGTGATGTGACTTTTCTTGCCTGTTAAATTCAGAACAATTTCAAATGTGTTTCTACTTCTTTTTTTCCACATACCCAATCAGAATTTCTTCTTTAATACTCACAATTGGCTCTGGGGCCCTCTCATTGCTTTGCTAGGCTGATCTGTGATGTCTGCCTTGCACCCTAAGGGCACTCCATTTATATAACCCTACAACTTATTGCTAACAGAAATGTCAGGCCCATTTACCCCAAATACACAAATCCAATCTTGTCCTGTCATTTCAAGGACTCCACCTGATCATTTGGGGTCAATGCAGCTCCTTCTTCTAATCCTACTGGCCTCCGGGATACAAACATTTGATAACACATTTGTTATGGTTAGCCTGCTTCACCTCAGTGACCTTTGAGATTTTTACTTTATGCTCTTATGTGTGTTATATCGTTAGTCTTAAAAAAACCCTGACATTGATTTGGCCAAAGAAAGTGACTAACTCCAGATAAACTTTGCGTGCAGCTTTATGGACTTGAAGGCTCTGATCCTATAAACAGATGGATTTTTTCTATAGTGTAATTACTGCAGAAGGGATTAAAACCCCTCCCTTCAGGCCACAAAATTCAGTTCTGGACACAGACCTCAAAACAAAGGTTTTATTCAGCCCATTTCAGCAGTAGATGCCAGCATGGAAATGAGATACCCCTCTCTCTCCTTTCCACACTCTCCTGTCTCACATGTGCCCTCATGGAACCATGAGTTTTCAGGGTTGGAAAGGATTTTGGAAAAATCACCATACTGCTGTGTACTTTTTCCTCTTTCTAGCTAGTGTTCCGATAACTTGGTCTAGGGTTGCAAATTGGTCATTTGCACAGCTACCCCTCTAAGACATTTTTGGCAGGTTCAGCTGGACGTGAAGAGTTAGAAAGGTCCAATGTGAGATCCTGTCATCCAGAGTGATACTTGGTCATTGGTCCTGAATGAGCACAGCAGTTCATGATTTGGGTGAGAAGGGTTGACATCTACCTCCTGTCATCTACCTCCAGCACAGAAGAAGAGAGCAGGCGAGGGTTCTGGCCTCCCATTGTTGGACACACCTGAGGGCAAAGGGCAGGGGCCATGGCCTCAACACCCACCCTCAGGGTTATAGTCCATCAAGCCTGTTGGAAATACAATGCAAATGGCCTTTGTTCTTGGGTTTTAAAATTGACCACAGCAAAGTGGGAGGTCTCCTAAAATGGAAATGGATCTGTAGAGCTCTTAAGACAACTTAGCTGCTTTGTTGTCAGTGGCTAGACATTTATGGTCTACACTTTGTTTCCATCACCTATTCTTCTGTTTCTGCTTGTTGTTTACTGTCTATTTACAAATCAAATAACCACTATGAAAATGCTAATCTGGACGATCAGGTCAAAGGAAGGATTAGTGCCATGTTTATCCCCCTATTATTAATGGTCATAGAATTAGGAATCACAGGGCCCTATCCTGGTTATGATGACTACAAAGTGCAGTGCTTCCAACCCAGTGTAGTCTCCCTGAAGTCAATTGGGATCAGGCCCGCGGGCCTGATATAATCAGGGTGGTGTTGACACAAAAGGGATCAAAGTAGGGATCAAAGCCTTTTCAAAGTCAATATTTACATCTGACAAATTGACTTAGCTCTAGAGCTGCTCAGACACACAGCTAAAATGTGGTGAAGCTCGGGAAGTATCAGAGCCTCTAAGGGCTATGGAGATGTGTTGGACAAGAAATAATGCCAAGTATTAAGCACGCTCTTGAAGTTATATAAACAACAATCATTACTGAAACTAAATAATGATAATAAATTTGGGGTTCTCATTAGTCCTGTCCAGAGGGAAGAGAAATAGAAGGGAAAATACAGAATTTACTTATCAGCTAAAATAACATTTCATCATTTTCTACCAGAGAACAAGGAGTTAACACAATCAATAAAAGAGGCAAGCAACTTTTAGAACCAACACAGATATGGTCACATGCACTCCCCACCAAATGTGCCTGTATGCACAAACACAAGCAACACAAAATGTTTGACTGTTGAACACAGATAAGTATTACATACAAGTTGAATGCCAGGCTTGCCTGGGCAAATCTTTAGCTAGTGGTCAACCCTGCCACAATTTTTCTTTTTGGGTGGGAAAATTCTTGGGTTGTTCTTTGACTTCAGTGAGGCTATAACAATTCACATCACATGAGGACCTAGATGCTTGCTTTGAAGTCAATATAGAAGTAGATTTCTGAACACAGCCCAGGTGGAACAAAATTAAATTATCCTTCATTATCAAGAAGTCTGAGAGGAAGATTTCAGTGGAGATTTAAACTACAGGACAGACTCTGCTGACTGCGTAAATATTTGTAGTCAGTACCAATATAAGCCAACTGGAGTAACAGTGCTTCCCATGTCAATGAAAATTAGTACAAACAATAAACACGATGTCAAAAACAATAGGAAAACAATGCTTGAGAATCTTGAGGAAACATTGGACACATTCATAATAGAAATTCTGGAATTTTTGGCCTAACTGCACCATAATAAGTCTTTCCATTTACTTCATTGTGCATTGAATCAGGCCTTGACTGGAATTCATTGCAAGATCGCTCCTCCAGCCCAGAAATACTAGACTACAGTCTCCTGATAAAACCAAGTCAGATAAGCATCACATTGTCTTAATGTTACAGATTGATTTTTCTTTCCCTTGTTTTTAAAATCCATGGAACCTGCCTGCCTGACAGCTGGTGACCCTAATGCACACAACTTAGTGGGCTAGGATAGTCTACAATGAATAGACTGATATGACTACAATGAAAGGGCAGGCTATAAGAAAAACTAGACCAAACACAAAGCAATCTATAATGTGAGCCATCAGACATACAATACTGCAGAGCAACAGGTATCTCTGGCAGCAGTCATCCAAATAGCCTTTTCGACACCTAGCAAAGGAAGAAAACAACAAAAATAACCAGCAACCACAAAAATAGAGAAAAACAAGTATCATTTTAAAACAATCTCTCTAGAAATGTATTACTTTTCCAGAAAGAAGAAATTAATGAGACTAGACATGACCCTTTGTTTTATGCATTTTTTGTTTTTCTTCAAGAAAAAAAATCAGCTAAGAAAATGAAATGAATACTTTCATTTTATTTGTTGAATGGGATCCCTTTTTAAGACATGTGCCTTGTTCTGCTAAGATAATTACATACATTTGTATGCAAACAGACTAAAAATCAGCAACAAGACAAAAAAAGAACATGTGCCTATATGGGCATACAAGAGGAGTTGTAACATAGAGCTACATTCTGTTGTTTTTGCTCATGGAAAGTAAAGCGTTACTTCGCAAGCAAAGTACAACTTTCTAATCCAGAATGTTTAGAACAAATAAAGAGGAGACCACTTATTTGCTATATATTTAATGTTAAACTTTAAGGAATATGAATTTTTGTACTTTTCAGTTGATCTTTTTTTTTCCCTCTTTGGAATCATATTGTTTTATCAGTAGCACAAAACAAAAGGGTACAAAAAATAAAGATTAGAATCCTCAGCTGGAAAATATAGGCACAATTCCACCAGAGTCAATGGAACTATGCCATTTTATGCCAGCTGAGATTTTGATCCAATATATTTTATTGCTATGGATACCTCTTTTCTTTTTTAAAATCACTTATAGAGGTATGTCCTTTTCTCCTGCAAAAATTATCCGATCACTAAGATTTATAAGACTTATGCTAAAGGGATACCATTCTTTAAAAGCAATTGAAATGGGCCATAATAGAATCTCCAACAGTAAGCAAAGGGTCATCTCTCATGGCAAGAGCTGCCTCCAGCATGTGATAAAGATAGCAGAAAAAACATTTGACATACTTGGATCTGACAAGATTGAGTCGGTTTTCGGCAAAAATTGATCACAGCGGACTCCTTGGTAGCCCTCTTTGCACCTGAGAAAAAGGGGATAAATGACAAACATACGCATGGTGTAGTAAAAAGTTAAATTCAAGACATCCTGTCAGCTGGAAGCAATGCTCCAGAGGACGTGCATAGGGGCCTGATAATTCAAAGTATTGCAGAAACAGCTTATTGCTGTACATAAACTGGGTGACAGAAAATAGTCTCTATTTCAAGAACACGATCCCTGAAGAGTTCTTGATCATTTTATATCAAAAGAAGGCCTGATAACAGTGGTCCCCCATTCCCCTCCTTGAGAGGGAGTCACAAGACACCCACCTCCCCACCCTGAGAAACCCTGAGCACTGCCCCTCAATCAGAGGGTGCTCTGATTGGTCGCTGCCTCATCCCCCACCTGCCTGGAGGCACTTTTCTCATCCTCCTTCTCCTCTCTGCACCGCCAGCCCAGCACTACCCCCCCAGTGGTCCTGTCCTCAGCTCCTTTCTCTCAGCCATCCCTGTCTACCCTTGTTTGCACCCCTCATCTCTTTTGCATTCCCAGTCCAGTTCCTATTCCCAACGCGGCCCTCGCTCCCTGCAGTCCCATGCCCGGCTCTTCCCCTAGAGCTCAGCCCCCTCTTTCTCTTCCCAACCTAGCTCTCCCCTGATCTAAGCATGGGGCTTAGAGCATCTAGGAGCTCCGGGCCCCCCTCCCACTCTGTTGCTCTGTGGATCCGAGCTTGGGACCTCCACATTGCCACAGCGACACTATTGAAAAGGATTGGATCAGGGCTGCCACTTCTGCCAGGCTCCCTTAACTCCACCAGGCCCCTGTGCAATTGCCCCCTTCCTCTCCCCGGCCAGCGGGCCTGGTGAAAAGAAAACATTTAAATGTATTTTTTTTAAGGCTAGTAAAAAAGCAGTGATATGCATTAAAATAAATGATCAGTACATTGGTGTACAGGTTTATAGAGCCTCGGTCCTGTACCAGATGGCACATTTACAGCTTCTCAGGCTTTGACTGTCCTAATAAATAGTGAATATTTACCTTGCCATTAATTTTAAGGTCCTTTCTTGCCATGCCTAAAGGGTAGGATGCCTTTCGGCAATATTTCTCTCTCACCAATCTGGAGCAGGCAAACTGCTGCCTTAACACATTTATTTATTTTATGGTCAGATTCTAATACTGTTAATTACACCAAATAGGTGCTTACTCCACATTACACCCAGGGCTCGTCTACACTGGCCCCTTTTCCGAAAGGGGCATGTTAATTTCACGGGTCGTAATAGGGAAATCCGCAGGGGATTTAAATATCCCCCGCGGCATTTAAATAAAAATGTCCGCCGCTTTTTTCCGGCATTTAGAAAAGCCGGAAAAGAACGTCTACACTGGCCCCGATCCTCCGGAAAAAAGCCCTTTTCCGGAGGATCTCTTATTCCTACTTTGAATAGACCAGTGTAGACGTTCTTTTCCGGCTTTTCTAAAAGCCGGAAAAAAGCGGCGGACATTTTTATTTAAATGCTGCGGGGGATATTTAAATCCCCCGCGGATTTCCCTATTACGACCTGTGAAATTAACATGCCCCTTTCGGAAAAGGGGCCAGTGTAGACATAGCCCCATTGTCTTCGGGAATATGAATAAGGGTATTGAAATTCTTCCATAAATGTATATTTTTGTTGGGTAGGGGAAGTGGCAATGACTTATAAATGTCGGCAAGGAGGCCCCTTCATCACTAAAGTATTTGGATAGGACGTAAACAATATGCTCATCTTAGTATTGACAAATTGTCTAAGAGTAAGAAGACGAAATCTTGGCTCACGTAACGGCATTGTGGAACAGAAGCAAACCTTGCCTCCTTCATGACATAATGTTTCTAGTCATGGTTCCTTAAGGAATTGCTTTTGGAAATGAGAAGTGGTATTTAAATTCTTGCTTTTAGGTTAATAAATATATATTTTGGTGAGACAGGCATCTCCTAAGATCTGAGCTCGGAATACCGTATTTACAGACTATGTGAGAGCACAGCTGTGCTGCAAACATTCAAACATCTGTGCTGACAACAGACTCAACTTCAATATAAATTTAGAAAATAAAAAAAAATCAAAGCTACGGATGTGTTTATATCAAAGCTTCTCTCTCTTGCTGGGCTACCTCAACATCCCTGGTATTGTCCATATTATAAAATTACCAAACATTACTGCACCTGATAATGGCAATGAAGAAATGTGTTAGATAACAACTTTGCCATCAGTGAGCACAGGACAAACCATTCTCTACTGATACCAGTGTTTAATCCCAGTCAGGAAGTCCTAAAGCTAGTGTTATGCAGGAAGTCAGACTAGACAATCATAATGATCCCTTCGGACTTTAAAATTTAAGAATCTATTGTGTCAATTATGTGAATTCTTTGAAGTTCTGTTCAAATATGGTAAAATTACAGTACAATGCTATTGCTGAGTCACAAATAACTGAATAGTAGCCATGTGAGTCTGAAAAAAAATAGAAAAAACTTTAAAAAACTTTAGAAAAAACTTTATAAACAATGATTAGTCCTGCAGCACCTTAGAGACTAACAAAACATGTAGATGGTATCATGAGCTTTCATGGGCATCACACACTTCTTTAGATTACTGGAGTTTTAGGGGTCCAGTTTCCAAATAAATAGCAGCGAAAGAGAGGGAATGGGAGGGAGAGAAGAGGAGAGGAGAAAAATAGGAAAAGAATAGTCAATTAAAGTTTTCATGCTAAATGAAGCTGATAGAGAGGGTCTGAAGTACCCTTAAGTACTGGTATTTGGGGAGGCATGGGGGGGTGTGTTGTGTGGCATTAGGATGTGGAATGTAGCGGGTAATCTAGTTAAGGTCTTTGTTCAAACCTGTATGGTAGGTATCAAACTTGGAAATGAAATTAGGCTCTCGAGCTTCCCTTTCAAGCTGTTTTTTGAAATTGGTTTGTAATCATATGGAAACTTTAGGATCCATTAATGAGTGCCCAGGGAAGTGAAAATGTTCCCCAACAGATTTCTGTGTGTTACCTTTTGGAATATCTAATTTGTGTCCATTAATCCTTTGTCATAGAGACTGTCCAGTTCAGCCAATATATATGGCAGAGGGCATAGATCATATTGGTGGATGTTATATGAGCCTCTGATGTGGTTTATCTGGTTAGGTCCTGTGATGATGTTGCTTGTATACATGTGTGAATAGAGTTGGCACCAGGGCTGATTGCAGAGGTGGGTTCCTTGGTGGTTATGATGGAGGTGTGCTGATTGGTTGCTGGAAATAATTTGTTTGAGCTTAAGGGGTTGTCTGTAGGCGAGGACTGGCCTGTCCCCTAAGGCCTGTGAGAGTGAAGGGTCATTTTCCAGGATAGGTGGTACAGCTGATAATGCACTGGATGGGTTTAAGTTGGGGGCTGTAGGTGATGACAAGTGGAGCTCTGTTGTTTTCTCTGTAGGGGCTATCTTGAAGAAGCTGATGTTTGGGTACTCCTCTGGCTCTGTCAATCTGTTTTTTTCACTTCTCCTGGTGGGCATTTAAAATATTTGGAACAGCAATGCTTGGTAGTCAGAAAAGGTGGTGGTGCTGGGCTTCCCCACTGGCTAATTGTTTTAACGAATGTGCAGCCTCCACATTGATTCCACAGCATACCTTTCTCCTTGTCTCTGTGTCAGCATTAATATATAATTCCACTGGGCTCTGAAGGACTGAGTAATGCAACACTCACTACTTGCTTGGGTTGACATGGGCTAGCATATAGAATCAGGCACTTCATTGCACAGGTTGGTATAACATATAATTATTCATATATTTTCAGTACTTTTATAATTAAAAAAATATTGTTCATAGGTGAAACTATATTGGTTTATTTAACACACACAAAGAGAGCCTTACACAAAGTAAACAATATTTAAGTGGGAATTATAAGTTGTTTCTTATGTCTTACCAATTATTTAAAGTGTTTAATTTAAGAATTGTCATGTTTCAAGCTGCAATGTGACCTAATATACTATAAATAATACTGAACTTGAAGGCTTTGCAATCTAGTCTCATGAGATGGCAGAAAAAGTAATAACCATTTGCAGACCCACTTTATTCTCTCATTTGACAGTTAGAGCAGTAAGAGATAATGAAACTTGATAATGTTGTGGCTCTCTAATCCATGCTAAAACAGCCTCTGTGATTCTAAATTGGCAGTAGTTGTACCCATCATCTTTGATATGCCTAAGCATAACACTCTTAATTGTCAGTATGCCTTTAAGAAAGTGACAAATGAAAGCCTCCCCATTTAAAAATCACAGATATGTCACATTAATAAGTTCAAAAAAACCTAAATGAGCTGGCTGAATATTGCCAACAAGCTGTGGAAATGATAAAAATTGTATTTATGGCTGCATTTGAAAAACTGTGATTAAGGAGCAAAATCTTTAAAATACTTAGATGAAATAGACTATTGCAACGGTGACTATTTTATTACATAACATACAAGGATTTGTTAAGCATGTCTTTATAAAAAATGGAGGTTGCAGAAGACATTGATTTCTGGGAACTAAAAGCTTTCAAGGTGTATGTAAGACTCAGTTCAACAGAGCAGATCGAACACATGCTAACCTCCATCCCTATTCAGCAAATCACTTAAGAGCTTTGCTGTATATGAACAGACTTAAGCAAATGCTTAAGTGTTTCGGTAAATAAGGGCCTTCCTAAACCATATGTAGTTTGTTTGCATCTTTTCCTCCTTGAAATAAACTAAGGAAATCAACTTCTCTATTTGTTCATTCTGAATGCCAAGGTAAGTGTGTACACCTAGAAATTAGAACAAAAAAAGATGGGAATGAAATGCAATGAGTTACATTTGGAATACTATGGGGAAAAAAAGAATGACAACTAAGACTGTGGAAAAGTACTGAAAATTTTGCTAATGCCCACAGCCCCACTCCCTTATTTTTTTAAATAAGCATAATTTTGCTTAATTTAGTCACAACTTAGTAGGTTGGCTGTTTCATCTTTTTATTGGCAGTCCACTTTCTCTCTGATCATGTTGTCCAGGACA